GAATAACACATGTCCATAGTGGGTTTAGTTTGGGAGCTGAAACTTGCTCATGACGAATTTGGTAAATTTAAAAAATATATATACACACATATACTTACATACATATATACATACATACATACATACATGCATACAACTTTGCTTTCCAAGGTACATTATTTACATTATTGGACCATTCCTTCAACAATAGGAAAAGATCGGAAGTTAAAAAGGGGCTGGGAAATTATATATCAATGTAATTAATTCAATTAATGTTACAATTACTGTCCCTGTGAAGATAACAGGGTCATAAAAATTCTGTTATTGCCAGCTAATCGGCAAAGGAAAAATGGTGTGCATAAGAGGAAATACAGTGTTGGGTTAAAACTTTTATGAGTCCTGCATATACTTGGATCCCATAAACTGAGGTGAATTGGCACATACTTCAGTTTGTTGATATCGAAATGGAACAATTCATGTGAACAACAATTTAGTTGAAATGGAACAATCTAGCATTAGATGATAGGGTAACATAAGGTGGAGAAGCCATAGTTTGACTTTAAACCCAACAAGGCAAATTTAAAATAAAAGTACAAATCGACTTCTGACTGACATCTATTGAATTTCTGAACATTTTAACTTTCTTATAAAGGGTCTGACAAAAATAAGGGAATGTCCCCTGATCTTCGGCAAAAAAATTCTCCTAAAACAGAGTGATACAAACATATTTGCTATTTAAAAAGATTTCGTAGGCTGCTTTATAGTGAATGGATCAGAGGGAAGCAAGAGTGGAAGTAGGGATACCAGTTTTCCAGATGGTAAATAATGGTGGAAATTAGATGAATTTGAGAGATCTTTAGGAGTTATGAACAATAGGACTTAGTGATTAATTGGGTGTCAAAGGTAAAGAAGAGGAAAAGTCAAAGATAATTGTTAAATGTGGTTAGAATTTTCCACACAGGTCTTAAGTAGACATAAGCGGAAAACCTCCAGGCTTTGCATTATAGGCACCAAAAGAGGAGATTTTCCTGGTGCTGGCACAATAAGAAAGTCAAGGCCCATAACATGCCCATTAGACCTAGGTGATACGGCTCACTGAGTATATTAATAGGTGCTGACTGATGCATTTTACTCAATGTGGCCATTGTGCCCATTATACATTAGACAGATCTTTATGAGATTCAAGGGAACCAATAAAATGAGCCTTTCTAGGTTACTATTTAGCTCATTTTTACCCTTTACTCAGTTGATTGGCTGTTTTAGAAGTAAATTAAAGCAAAAGTAACCAAACTGAGTTCAAGCTGTCGTTCGCATCCATCAAAATTAAACCAGTGAGTTTCTGGCTTAAGCACTTGGCCATAGCTGATGCTGCTGCCATTTGAGATGAGGGACAAGTGGAGGAAGACCAGGCTTTTTATTTTATTGTTGTTGTTGTAACTGCTGTTATTGCAGTGGTAGGAGAGGTAAAGAAAATAAGTTCGATTTTGGATATGTTGATTTCAAGGTCATGTTCATATTCCAAATGGAAACAGGAACTACGCAGTTGCATATATGGGTCCACATCCCAGAAGAAAGTTGTGAACTAAAAATAAAAATGTCATAATCCTTAGCTAAATAGGTAGAAATTGAATTTATGCATATGAATGAGATCACCTAGGAAAATAGTATAGTTAGAAGAGGGCCAAGAATTGAACAATGAGAAAAACACATATTTGTTAAGAATAGTAAGCAAGCTTAGAAGAAAGATGTATACAGCAGAATAGGTAAGAGAAGGATGGTATCTGAACATTAGGAGGAAGAGTATGTCAAGAAGAGCATGATCAACAGTGTCAAATGCTACTGAAAGTCATGTAAAATGGAAACTGTCCATTGGATTTAGCGATCAAAGGTTATTGATGACCTTAATGAAAGTTGATTTGATAGAGTGGTGGTAGCTAAAGTCAGATGGAAATAATTTTAGAAGTGCTGGTGAGGTGAGGAGAAGGCACCAGATATAGACAACCTTGAAAAGTTTAACCTTGAAGAGGTGGAGAGTAAAAGAAATATTTTAGAGAGCCAGGAAAGAAAGCAAAATAGTAAACATGTAAGTGTTAATTGTTACTCATATTAATTCCATAAGCATTTGTTGATCACATGAAGGGCACAGGGGAGGAACTGAGAATTAAGAGATAAGTAGGAAATAGTCCTCTCTTCAAGATGCTCAAAGTTTAATAAGGGAGAGGAAGACAGATAATTATGTATAGGGACAGTGCAATAGATGTGTTAGATTTAGGGGTAGCACAGTAGTGAGAGTAGAAAGTATGTTACCAGGCAGGAGATCAGGGAAGACATTAAAGTAATATTTAAACCGAGTTATGAATTTTTTTTAAAATGCCTACGGCACCTAGTATTCCTAGGTGGTCTCCAAGTACTAACCAGGCCCGACCCTGCTTAGCTTCCGAGATCAGACGGGATAGGGCACATTAAGGGTGGCAGGGCAGTAGACTGAGTTATGAATTCTTAAGTGTTTACTAGAATGACTATGAGAAAGACATCCCAGATGGAGAAAAGCATAGTTTATTGGAAAACTACAGTAGCCTTTAAAGAGCATGAGTTCTTAGAATCACAATGTCTAGATATAAATCTTGCCTCCAGCATTACCAGCTCCATGACTTTGGGTTATCATCATAGCTGTGTAAAGCCTCGAATTCCTTACCTGTACAATGAAGGCCAATAATTCCTATCTCACAGGATTTTTAGGGAGGCTTAAAAGCTGTGAAACACTGAATTCAGTAGCTGGTACTCAATATATGTAAATACTTGTTATTATTGTAGGATTTAAAATGCAAAAAGAGTAGCAAGGTTATGAAGCTAAAGAAGATAATCAGAAACCATATCACGAGATATTTATTACAAAAGTCAGCATTGTTTCCAGCATTAATTAAAACAAACTAGTACAATTATTAGTAAACGGAATGAAGTTAGGCTTAATTCTACTAAAAAAAATCTTCAGGAAGCATCTTAATTATAATCTCCTGTTGATGACGCCTAAGGCACCAGGTATGTACAAGTACCTTACAGGCTACTAATTAAGAGGCTGATATTGCTAACCTCTAATTGTTCAATTTGTAAATTATTATTTTTTACAATATCTTATAATACAGTGCATTATTTTCCATTAACATTGTTGATAAACTTCATGTTTCTAATTTTTTAAAAATATATTTTGGTATTTTTCTATTTTAAATGAACTGGTAGTATGGTAATTCTTTTAGTAAAAAGGCTATTTCATATCTACCACCAAAATGCACCCAAATTAACCAGATAGTGTAGCTGACCTTAAGAGTATGGTTAAGGGCATTTTAGGGTAGAATTAGGCTCCACAAAAAACTGCAGGTGGATCTAAGGATATTTGCATGGGGCCTCTATTCTTCCGTCATTTTGGATAAAGTTTTCTCTAGTCCCACAAGTCAGCGATTTATCTTTCAGATTTTTATTTTGAGGAAGCTTTATTTTCTTTGGAAGAATTCAACTTCTCACTTATGTGAACTATATTCCCTCTTCAGGAATAATTTTGGCATTGAAAAAATAATTACGGGTCACCACTGCCTAGATTACTAAATTTAATCCGTTGAATGTTTATATATGTATAGTATATATGGTCCTGAACTCCTGACGGCAATGTAGGTCTTCAAGCTTGTAGACACTTACTAAGCACAGAGGATATATGAGGGCAGGGCAAACTACTTCCAGCAGTGGCTTTGGATTTCAAAGTTTTGTTTGCCAAGATCTATAGTGACATGTCTAATCCTGCACACAGTACACGTGTATGTGATGGAATAAAAAAATGTAGCATAGAATACTTTATTTGACTGAGATTCCCCCGAAATTTCTTTATGTAAAGCGAAAACTTCACCTCTTCTAGGTAGAAACCAGCTAAAATGATTTTACGAACTACTAAAGGGTCGTTAAAGGCAGACTAAAATCGCTCCTCCAGCTATCTCCGCTGCTGTCACAGCCCTTCGGAAATTTGAGGATCGCCCGCGAAGTCACCAGCGTTTTGTCCCTTGCCCTGGGAAGATGAAGCCGGCCTCCCTGCAGGAAAGCATCACCACACCAACCTACAGCTCCAACTCGGTGGATGATGCAGGGCTCGACCTTCCAGCCCGTCCCGCCCCCTTTTCTCCGCGAATTTAATTTCGGCCCTGTGAAGTGGGTCGAGCGCCGAAAGATCGATGCTTCCTCCACGCCCTGAGAGCCGCCATTTTTGGGGGGAGGAGAAATGCTAGTAACGGCGGCAGAAGCTCAGCGCGATGTTGACTCGCTTTTGCGTCTCTTGCCAGCACTGTAGGACCGGGACAGAGGAATCTACCAGGGCCACTCCGGCTGTCTCTCCGGAATGAGGCCTCGGTTCCCGCACGGGACGGCCCCCTTCCTCCTCCAAGAGTGCGTGGCGCCCCGCAGCGCGGCGAACCCTCGCGCGCCCTCCGCTGTCAGTTACCCGCGCGCTCCCGTTGGTGCGCGCCGCTCCCCTCCGGCTCCCGCTCCTCCCCCGCCCGCCTTGGCGCTAGGCGCAGACTCGCTTGTTTGTTTCTGCAGGAGCCCAAGGAGAGGCCGAAGCCGAGACGATGCCTGGGAAGCTGAAGGTGAAAATCGTGGCTGGGCGCCATTTGCCAGTGATGGATCGAGCTAGTGACCTGACTGATGCCTTCGTGGAGGTTGGTGCAAGGTCCTGCTCCTCAAACACAGGGAGTGCCAAGCCCTGTGAAGGATCCTACCCATCTCGGCCCCAGCTCATTCCCCTTCCTACAGTCCTGTGTGCCTTGCTTGTGTAGCTCTCCCTTGAGGGCTGACTGTGGAGATTGCAGCCCATGTGATGGGCGCACGGCTTGCTGTTGTCCGCGGCACACTGCGCCGCGCGGGGAGGCTGTTACTGTCCTGCATGTTGGGGTGACCTTTGATGTCAGGACTCATAACAGGCCACCTGCCAGTACAGAGATCCCAAGGCGTGGCCCGCGCGGCTACCGAAATACACACACATACATGCATCCTTCTTTCGGGAGGGGTGGCACTTCAACTAGAGTGATGAAGATGTTTAACAAGGTAGACACAGCCCCTACGGGCACTTGAAGACCTACAAGGCTAGGAGATCCACTCTTTAGCGTGGTATTTTCTGAATCAGTATAAGTTCTAAAACAACTAACACTTTCTGCTCTTGTATGGACTGGTAGGTCTGATGAACTGTTTCAGGGTAATTTAGTGCCTTGGGGTAGGAAGCCAATTAAGTGCCATAGATTTAAATTGCAAAATTGCTTTTTAAATCTAATGATTAGTTTACAACGCATGCAAATTATCACAAGCCTAGGGCCTGGAAAGTAATAACCCAGAGTATGAAAGAAGCCAAGTAAAAATTGTAATAAAAATTGACGTGATGAGCCAGAGTATTAGAACAATAATCCTTTGGGCTATTAGTGGGTAGAGTTGATAGATACATGATAACATACAGTCTGATTTCATCTCAAAATAAAATATTCCTGATGTTCCATAAAGGTTCTGTAACCTAATGGCAGTTTTGCCCCCAAACATAATTTCAACTTCATTTTCATTTGAGAAACAGTTACCCAAAACTTGTAAACCTCGGTAGCCTTGTGGCCTATTACCTTAATCACTGCTTATTTTGCCTCTCTAGGCAAGGTGATGAATGTTGTTGTAGAATGTGGAAACTTAATTCTGTCTCTGAAGGTATAGGGAAGCTTCCTAAGTGATATTTCAGCTGGGCCTTGAAGGACATCCAGGATTTTAGCAGGCAGAGGGAATATTAAAGGCTCAGAATGGGTTACATGGTATGTTTAGGAAGTTTGGTATGTTTAGGAAGTTTGGCATATATATAGAGTAAAAGAGGATGTGTGGTAGTGGATGTCTTGGGGGATAAGGTGGGAAAGGTAATTTGGAGCCAAACCTCCTTTTCTATACTAAAGAAAGTTTCCTTTATTCTGTAAGCAGGGGGTTAGCCAGGGGAGCTTTTTAAGCAGAAATGAAATAAGATCATGTTTGTATTAGGTTGTTTCTTTTCTAGATCACTTGAATAATAATGTTATTGTTGGGCTGGACAGATGAGAATGGGTCAAGGAGATCAATTAAGGAGGTGGTAAAATTATCCAGGCAATAGGTGCATGTTTAGAATGGCAGTGGGAATGGATTAAAGGAGAAAGATTTGAAGGACATTTCTTAGGTAAAATTGTCAGGCCTTTGTAAAATGGTTTTTGCTGGTGAGAGAAGAGTTGGATTCAAGGCTGACTCATTAATTCCTTTCAACAAGTAGTTATTGAGTGTCTCCTATTTGCCATGTACCATGCTAGTCACTGGTCTAGCTGATGCATATATGATGTTGAATAAAGTGTACTTGGTTCTTGTTTTTATGGACCTTATATTTTGGTGGGAGAAACACATTAGGAAGTAAAAAAACAAATATATCCATGTGATGAGAGTCATAAAAGAAAACAATAGGAAGAGCATAAGAGGGAATATCTACTTAAGGCTGAGTAATCAGGGGAGGCCTCTGAGGGAGTGTCAGTTAGGCTGACCTACTGGATGAAACTGGTAGCTGCTCAGGGAATGTGTATGTGTATAGGGAAGTTTGGAGCAAGAGAGGCTGGAAGAGAAAAGAGTCTCAGCAGAGGGAAGATCCTGAGGAAATTTGTTGTTTTAGGAAGTGAAAGAAGATCTTTTGTTGCTGGCATGTTGCAAGTGAAGAGGAGAGTTCAAGATACAGTTGGAGAGTTAGTCAAGGAGCCAATTTTACAGGATCTTAGAGGCCCTGATTAGGAGATTGGATTTTATTTTAAATTCAGTGGGAAGCAGTTGTCAAGATGAGCACTTATGTTGCTATCTGAAGAATGGACGAAGAGGGGAAAGAGCTAAAGCAGGCAAATAGTTGGGATATTCTATAATCGTTCATAAAAGAGGTGGTGAGGGCCAAGGTGATGGTTTTGGTAATGGAGAGAATGTGGATGGATTCCAGACATACTTTGAATAAAGACTCTAGAGGATTTGTTGGTAGATTGGAGTACAGGAACAGGGAAAAGGAGACTAAAAGATGACTCTTAGCTTTTTGGAGTCATTGGGGTAATTTTCCAAAACTCCTTGGGGTTGATAGAGATTTATTGAGTGCGTGGAGAATCACATTCCATTAGGGAATGTTAAATTTGAGGAGTCTTTGGACCTTCAGTCAGAATTGTCAAAGAGAAAGTCCTATTTGTGAGTATAGTGTTCAGAAGAGAGGTATGAGTTGAAAACGAGCTCACAGGCCAGTTATTCTCAACTCTGTGAGACCCAGTATTCCCTTTATATAGCAGATATTTTGAAATCTACTCTTTAATATCTTGGCATGATAATAATAGCTAGTATAACCTATCTATGCTTACAATTAAAAATATCTAACATAATGCTCTAGCTATAATATGATAGAGAAATAAAAGTATTTTATCATATGTATTTCAATATGAAAGTACGTGTTCATGACCACAGTAGAAAACATGAAGTAATAAGATTGAATCTATGAAAATTTTCGAGCCTTTGTATATATCAGATATTGTACTGGATGTAATACGATGTGCTGGGGCTATAACAATAAAACAATTTTTTTTAGTCATGGAACTTACGTTTTAGTGGGAGTAGGGAGTTCATAAAGATAAAGTAAAAGAGAAGTTCCTCATGTGGAGAAAATAAAGCAGTGATGCAGGATAAGGGAGTGCCTCACCTATGTGTAAAATCAGATGAATATGACAGCTCCTAAAACAGACAGTTTTGTAGTTTTGACATCTCGGATAGGCCTTAGTTGCCATTGGCTATCTGATTTTCCATAATGGTCAACTCACAAGAAAAAGACTTGTCCCTTCACATACATGATGGTTGTATTTCTTGACAATTATGTATATTAAAACCCTATCACAATACTTTTATCTGTAAAACTGAGATTTTATTCTAGGTGGGTTTTTCACCCATGTAATTATCTGGTGGGACATTTGAAAGTCATGGCATGAGACAAGTCTTCATTGTTGGGGACTATCTCTCATTGCAGGACACTAACATCTCTGACCTTGCTCACTAAATACTGCTACCTGTCCCAAACATACCCCTAGAAATTTCTATAGTTCCCGTAGAAGTTGGTTCTGTCTCTTTTGCACATTTCTGATTTAGGGTTAGAGAGAGGAGAGGTATGGATCTTTGAAAAACTTGACATTAAGAATTTTATTAGATGTGGAAGATTAGGGGAAGGGAACAGATTGTCAGCCAGTGGGTAGCCCATAAATCAGGAAAGTAATGTTCTAGAAGGCAAGAGAGGAAGTTCCTAGAAAGAGGAAGCTCCTAATTGTCAAATGGCACTGAAAGGCCAACTAAGAGGACAGAGAAATCACTGGATGGATTGTTAATGGTTGTTAATGATCCTGAGTGATAAAGATAGATGTCCATACTTAATTTAGTTGAAGAGGGTAAAGTACACAGAAGATGAGGAAGTAGGAGTGGTATGAATAGGCAGCTGTTTCAAGAAATTAGGCTACGAAGGGGAGAGGAGAAATAGGGTGGTATTTGGGAGCGTATATAGTTTCTAGTACTTTTTGAAAAATAAGAAGATAATGATTGTGTGCTAATAGGAATAATCCAGCAGGAAGGGGAAGATTAATGCAGGAAAAAGGGGATAATGAAGAGTTATAATAAAAGGATAAATTGTATGATGTGGACTATGATTATTATATAAGCTAATAGGAGAGGGACATAAACCTGGGCTGGTAATGAGAAATCTTTATGCTGGGCTTGGGTGATAAAATTTCCACAGGCAGAGAGGAAAAAGGGACATTTTTCAGATGAATAAGACAGACTTGGTAAAAGCAAAAGGCAGGATAGAACATATGTGATTGAAGGGAGGGTTCTTGTCAAATAGAAGTGGGAAATAAAATTTGGCTTGTTAGATAGGGATACAGATTACCAAGTGGTCTGAAAGCTAGGGGGAGAAGTCTGTATAGTAGAAATTCTCTTAACCACTTCATTAATTCATTACAGTATTCTGCATTCCTTCTATAAGCATGTTCTTCACTACCCCGTATAGTTAGATTATTCTCCAGTGTACCTGTGTGCCTGCTTCTCCAGTCAGTAGACTTATATGCTTTACCAAGAGGTGGTTGTCTATGCTGACTCTATATGTTATTGTAATTTATTTAAACCTTATATAAATCGATGAAATGTGGAAATTAAGTTGATAATGCTATGTAAAGACTTATGGATACAGTCAATAAAAAGTACTCGAACTAGATGAAGATTGTAAAAAAATTCTAGGATTCTATGTTCATGGTTTTTTTCTTTTTTTAAGAAACTCAAACTGGCAGTCACAGGTGATAAATTATAGGTGTGGTTTATGCAAAAAAAGATGATGTAGAACTCTAAAGAATGAACCCCTACTCAAAGAGGCCTTAGTCTTATATTAAAAAGTCAAAGAATGAATATATGTTTTATCGTAATGCATTAACATACATGTTACAAACTGTTCTGCTAAACTACATTATCATTTGTGTTTATCCAAGAGCCTTTGAGGGAACAGGGAGAGGAAAAGAAATTAATATTAAATGAGTATTTTCTGTTATCAGATGTTTTGCTAGGTCTCTACTTGCATTATCTCATGTACTGCTCATAGCAAACCCCCCTTTTCAGTGGGAGAAGCAGCCTTAAGTAGCAGATTAAATAACTTTCTCAAGATAATCTAGCTAATGATTGGGGAAAGAGAATGCTTTTACTTTATTAGGGAATCTCATTAAAATCCCTGATGTTCTTTAATAAAGCTGTAAGGCACTCAATTGTGAGTAGTAAAATCTTTGAATTAAATAAGACCTAATGAACTGGATTCTTTAGTAGAAAGGGAATCATCACAATGTTGGCAAAATTTGCACGCTAACCTTTTTCTAAAATCTTGTTTTTTGTATGTTTGATGCAGTGTGAGGACTGCATTATCCTCACATTATCCTCAGATCTTTACTATATCTAGAATGGACAGTTGACCAAAAAACAAAAAAAAAAGTGCAACATAGCACTATAGTATGGTGGGACAAAATTGAAGGGGGCTTTAAATTGTAACTTAAGAAATATGTTGTTTTTGGCAATTGAGCCAAAACCCTTAAGTACATTTGGATTTTGAATGGTTTTGAATGTTTTTATGAATCCTGACAACATTTTACTTCAAATAAAACAGTTTTTAGGTAAATTAAACATTAAATGTTTCTTTCGAATATTGAAATGTAATGAAAATTAAATTAGTAAATGAGCAGTAACCTGTGTTTTTCCTGGGTTTCTTTTTCCCTGTTAGATTTCATTTCTTTAACATTTGTGATTTAAAATGAAAAAAAAATTACGCAAGTAGTACATGAATAGCTCCCATTTCAAAATATTTGAATACCCAGAAGTGAAACTTGAAAGCCCCTTACTTTTTATTTACTACACTGTACTGTATTGCTTACACCCTGTCAGTTCCTTCTTGAGAGATAATTGCTGTCATATATTTTCTACTACTTGATCTATTTTTTTTTCAGTTATGTCGATATTTTCCCATAACGGTACTTATAATTGACTCCATTCTTTAACAGGATTCTTTAGTCATTTATTCAGTCACTTTCCTGTCGAACGACTATTTAAATTTTTGTGTATTTTTTGGGAGGAGACCTTATGTGAAAGTGCTTCTTTAGGATAAATTCCTGGAAGTGGGTCCAGAATTCTGTAATTCGAATCAATATAAAGTTTTTGCCACTTGGACTTTTTTTCGTTTTTGGTGTTTTTGAATTTTAAAATTATACATTTATAAAATAGGTAATATATGTGCATGGTTCAAAATTAAAAAGATACATAATAAGTCACCCTCTCATCACCTTTCCTTTAACCAATCTGTTCTGTTCTTTGTAGTTGCCACTGTTAACATTTCTTATATATCCTTCTAGAAATAATCTGGGCATGTATAGGCTTATGTTATATGCCTTATAATGTTTTGTTATTTCTCTATGCGAATTATGCCATACACACTGTTCTGCAGTAGAAAGATGTAACTTGGACATTGTTCCATACCACGGCTTATAGAACTGCTTTATTCTTCTATTTAGGACTGCACTGTGTGTTTTTACCATTATTTAATTTAACCAGTTCCAAACTGATGGACAATCTTTTGCTATTATCATGTTCCTTCTGTACATCGCATACTTCTGTGTGAACTTAAAGGGTAAAGACCTTTAATATTTTGATAAATATTGTCAAATTGTACTCTGTAGAAATTGTTCTAATGTACTCTCACATCAAGAGTATGAGAGTACCTCGCTAACACTGTTTTCAAACTTTTTGATTTTTGCCAACCTGCTAAGTAAAAATGCTGGTTTAGTTTGCATTTATCTTAGTGTGAGTGAGGTTGATCATTTCTTGACATATTTAAGGCATCTATATTTCCATATCTTTGAATTGTGTTTATGTCCTTTGCCCATTTTTCTGTTGGTCTGTTGATCTTTTTCTTATTTGTAGGAACTCGTTAAAAATTGAGTAAATTATCTCTGTGACATATTTGGCAAATACTTTTTCTCAGTTTTTTATTTATCTTTGATTTTGTCATGCTCCTTATCATGCAAGAAGTTGTTATTCCTGCGTAATTTTTAAACCTTTTCTACGCTCTAACCAAACTGCTTAGGTACCACATGGTTGGTATCATTACCAGTAATTCAAATTGAATGATAAAATAATTAGAAAAAGATACAGAAGATAAAAATAGTTATGGTTTTGGATATTGCAGTTTTAGACTATTTCCTGGACTGATTAAACGTTAATATCTACAAGTAATCTAATACCAAAAATAGGATTGTAGGTAAAAAAAAGAAAGGCGATTTCATAGATTACCTGATCGAACCAGCATTTCATAAGTATCTGCAGTGTGCAAAACTCTGTGCTGGATATTGTGATAAAGGGGAAACCTTTTAGTGAATCTTGAGGTTAAGAAAGATACTTAATGGTCATACCTGATAGGATTAGGGAAGACTTGACAAGATCAGATTTGAGAAAGGTGAGGCAGTCTGGGAAGCAGTTGCCTAGCCGTTTTGCTCTGAAACTTCCCGACCACTTCTCAAGTCCAGTCTGAGGTTTCATAGTCTCCATTCTTGATTGGAAGCAAATCCTAGGGATCTAGCCTGCTTTCCGCCTTCTTCATTTCCTTCTTTATTTTTAGATCTTTGTGATTTAGTGTTTGCCAAGATTGGCTGTGAAATAAGTTAATCTCTCCATCCAACTCCTTTCATTATCCCTGAAGATAGGAACATAAAACCCTTATTAACCATAGTTTAATGCTGATCACTGTGTGTGCACAGATAAGGAATTAAAAAAAATATGGAGAGGCTAGAAAACACCAGGATATATTACTGATTTCTTATATTAATGGGTTGTAGTTCTGGATTCCCTTGCTGAGATGTTAAGAGAAAACTGGCCTTTTACCTTCTGATTTTATCTTTGCTCGTTCTTTGCCCTTAAAACTTTACCTGTTGTCTGAGCCGTGTTTAGTGAAGGCCATACTGATTCCTTTCTCCATAATGACATAGTTGTTTATGTTTCTGATTCCCCTGTGGAGCTAGTCAAGCAGAATAGTGGGTAATTCCTTGTTCCACGTGTAGTCTGTAAACTTACCTAGACCCATCTATACTTTTACTTTGCCTCAGGGATAGTTTTCTTTTTCCCCTTCCAGGGTTAATCTTCCCATTGCTTGGCTGATAATAGATTTTGTTTTTATTCACATTCCCCGCCTCGCTTTAATTCCCCACCTCGCCCCCACTTCCACTTCTGACCTATGGATGTTGCCATTTCTTCTTAAGAACTAGATCTCTGAAGGCAAGGCATCTCCTCACACACGCTCACAGCGTGCACCTGGTGCCTGACACACCTGGCGCACTAGGGGGCTTGGCGCACCCGGGGTATGGTCCGTGCCTCCACCTGGGGCACGAACCCAGGACCTTCTGCGTGTAAAGCAGACGTGCTAACCACTACAGTATGGAGCCACCCCTCACATTTTTGATATTTATATTTTAATTGTTTCTTATTTGTTTTTAGGTAAAATTTGGTAATACCACCTTTAAAACAGATGTGTATCTCAAGTCCCTCAACCCTCAGTGGAACTCAGAATGGTTTAAATTTGAGGTAAGTTTTTAAATGTCAGCATTTTTGAGTGTGTTTTTTTGAGGTGACCCTTTTCCCAAAGAAAGATAGCAGTACCTTTTATTTCAGGTATGGTGGTTTTCCCATACCATAGACATATTTCCCAGGAATATTAAGTTTTTAAAAAATATTAGGAAAATAAAATATATGAATAGGAGAACCTAGATTAAAAAAAGATTATATTATTTTAGTAATTTTCTTCGAATACTGCCATGTACCAGAAATTACTGAAGAACAATGTACAGATTAAATTTTTAATTGTAAAAAATCATAAATATTGCCATTTTAAAGTGTACAGTCACAGTGTTATGCAAACATCACCACTGTTTATAAAAATTTATCACTTCAAAGAGAAACTTTCCTCATTCAGCAGTCACTCCCCATTTGCTCCTCTCTCCAGCCCCTGGTAACCTCTAATCTGCTTTCTGTGTCTTTCAATTTGCCTGTTTCATCTAAGTGGAATCACAAATATTTGTCCTTTTATGTCTTGCTTCTTTCACTTAGCATATGTTTTCAAGTTTCATCCATGGTGTAGCATCTATTAGAATTTTATTCCTTTTTGTGGCCAAATAGTATTCCATTATTCCAAATAGTATACCACATCTTGTTTATCTTTTTTTATCTGTTGATAGATACTTGGGTTGTTTTGGCCTTTTGTCTATTGTGAATAATGCTGCAATGAGCATTAGTGTACAGTATCTGTTTGAGCCCCTATTTTCAGTTCTTTTAGATGAAATGGCTGAATCATCTGGTAAAATCCGTGTTTAGCTTTTTCAGGAACTGCCAAACTGTTTTCCACAGTGGCTCTGCCATTTTAACATTACCACCAGCATCTATGAGTGTTCTAGTTTTTTCATATCTTTGTCAATACTTGTTATTTTACTTTTTTTAAAAATGTAAGCCACCCTAGTAGGTCTGAAGTGATAGTCACAGTATAATTTTAATGTACATTTTTATTACGAATGTACATTTTTATTATGATTTCTTATGGATGAGGGCCATTTGTATTTCTTTTACTTTGAACTATCTCCTCATATTTTAACCCCGCAAAGAAGATATTTAGATTATAGAGGTAGACTTCATAGGACTTGGTGACCAGCTTAATATGAAGAATGTAGATATGAGGTAGTATCTCATTGGTTTTGATTTACATTTTCCTAATTACTAATAGTGTTGAGCATCTTTTAATGTGCTTATTGGCCGTTTGTATATCTTCTTTGGAAAATTGTTCAGATCCTTTGCCCATTTTTAAGTTGAGTTGTTTATTTTTTCTTATTGAGTAGTTTTTTTATATTCTGAATATTAAACTCAAATATGATTGGCGAATATTTTCTCACATTTAGTGAGTCGTCTTTTCACCTTGATGCACAAAACTTTTTAATTTTGATGAAATCCAGTATATCTTTTTCTTTTGTCACTAATGCTTTCGGTGTCAAACCAGAGAATCTATTGCCAAATTTGAGGTCATGAAGATTTACCCTTATGTTTTCTCCTTAGGGGAGGATAGCTCTTATATTTAAGTGTTGATTCATTTTTAGTTAATTTTTGTAATGATCTGACATAAAGATATAGCTTCATTCTTTTGCATGTGGATATCCAATTGTTTCAGTACCATTTGTTGAAGAGACAGTTTTTTTCATTGAATGGCCTCGGTGCCCTTGTTAAAAGTCAATTGGACATAGAATTATGGGTTAATTTCTGGACTCTTCGATTTATTCCATTGGTCTATATGTCTATCCTTATGCCTTTACCATACTGTTGGTTAACTTTGTATTAAGTTTTGAAATCAAGGCGTATGACTCCTTCAACTGTGTTTTTCTTTAGTGTTGATTTTTTTGTCATGGGGTATTTTGATTCCTTTTTTGTTTTCTTTTGTGTATATGTACAGATTTTTTTTTTTTAGTTGTTTCCAAAATGACATTACATATTTTGAAAGACCCAGTATTGCACATGTACTAAATCTGTTGTCCTTTTAAACTATTATTTTAAGGTAAAAATGTGGAATATATGAGTTAGAGAAAGTAATTAGAATAACTTGCTTACGTGATTTCAAATGGAATTAGAATTGCGAAGTGCATCTTCATTACCCTAGAAAAACATTAAAATACTTATATATCTTCATGTGGACATAAGAAATGTTGATGCACAAGAATAGTGGACAGGGCTTGCTTAAAGCAAAGTAAACCTTTTACTAAAAAAGTTATATGCCTGGGGCGTGACTTCCCACCATGACCTGTCCAGTTAGGAATTTCTGATCAGATCGCCCTGTGAAGTTACTTTCCTCACTGGACTTGTCAGTTATATCACAGAAATCTTTTTCATCCACAATCATTTGGATGATTTTTTCTTTTTCTCATAACCTAGAAATGATTAGAAACAAATGGTCTTGGTCAATTACATCATTTTTGCAATGGTAGAAGCAGGCAGCCTTTATGTATTAGTCATTTTCATATACTATGACATTAATATTTAAGAAAATGGATATTTCATTATATTGACTCAATACTGGTAATTTTTAAATGTACAAAGTACTCAAGTAGCTTAGATAACTTCAAAAAATAATATATTTGTACTTTTCTGGAATAAGGGGTTTTAGTAATATTAATGAGCTTTAGTAACTCAAGTTACTAGCCATTCCTCTTATAATTTCCTAATTTTACTTTTTGGCTAGTACTCCTAATAAAAATGTAGATTGTTTGAAATGTGTCCTTAAACTTTGTGTTTGTAGTTACAATTAATTATACACTTCTTTTTTAATCTTTTATCAGTTGTAAATTACATTCAGTTATATATGTCATGAACTCTCAAATAAAACAGATGTTTAGTTTTCTTTCATGTAAACAAAATATTGAAGGCAGTGTCAGGGTATTTTAGTAGCTCCATGGAGTGATTTGGGACCCAGGTTCCTTCTTTCTCCTCCGTCGTCCAGTGTAGCCTGTGGCTTCCATACTCAGGTCACTGTAGCCTGCCTCCAGATGAGCACCTGGAGTTTCAGTAATCACATCAGTGTTCTAGGCTGGAAGGAGCTGGAATAAGGATAGGGCAGGAGTGGCTGTGAGTTAACATTTACATTTTAGCTGAGCAAACCGTGACTAAGAAGTTTTTCCCACTAAATAGAGTTCCTGAATCCAATTCCAGTGTGGGGTAGGAGTTCCCCCTACATCAACAAACAATTCTCAAACACCAGCAGGGTATCTGAGAATTCAACTCAATTCTGATGTTGTCTACCTGGAGATAGCATCTGATTCCACAGATACAGGGCTTAGTCCCATAAGATTACCCTCCACTTTAGATGCTGGTGCAAGCCTAGGCTCTTAATTGTGCTTCTGACTGGTTTGCTACAGATTGCAGGTTCCCACCACTCCTTCCTCTTGGGTTGGATTACTTCGCCCAGCACAGTGGCATGGTAACAGGTGGAAGCATTCTGCTTCCCCAGTGCGTAAGCTCTTTGAAAAAGGACCAGCAAACTCTCCTCTTCGGTTTTTATGGAGACTTCATTTCATAGTCATGATTGACTAAGTTGTTGATCATTGGCAGTTGAGTTCAATCACTAGCACTTCTTCCCTCCCCGGGAGTTGGGGGCTTGGGACAGGACCTTCCAAACCTCTAATCATGTGGTTGGTTCTCCTGGCAACCAGCTCCCACCCTTGGGTGGCATCATTAACGTAACAAAAGATGATTTATATCATTCTTAACACTTGGGAAATTCCAAGGGTTTGGGGAGCTGTGAGCCAGGATGAAGACCAAGTATCTTAAACACTTAAAACATTTCTGAGAAAGTCTTAATTAAAATTAATTCCTGAACTTCTCTATTCCAATTATTCATATTATTTTACACACACACACATACACACACACACACATACATCTCATGAACTATTTTCTAGTCACTTAGTATGGAGCCCTATAATGTAAGGGAAGGGATACCTTAGTGTCCCCTGAGACAAGATGATAGATAGATAAGGTGAATGTTTAGATGGATAAATCAGTGTACACAAAAATGTTGTTAATGGTTAGCTAGAAATTGGAAGGTTGTCTTTGGAAGAATGGTTAATGGCTTAGTTTATGACTCTTTACCTTTTGTAAATGTATAGCTAATGCATTAGTGATAGAGAGAATGCCATTGATGACGTTGATAATTCAGAATGGATTGGAATTCAAAATGATTGTTATATTTTAACCTTTCATTATGGAAATTTTCAAATATGCCCAAAAGTAGATTAGTATATTGAACTACCTGTGTGTCACCTACCTTTACCTACCTAAATTGTCTATATTCAGTTCTTGTTTTATTCGTTCCCCAATGCCCCATTTTTTTGGGGGGGAGGGGCGCATTTTAAGGCAAATTCAGGACATACAATTTGATCTATAAATTTTAATTATTTCTTTCTTATAAAGACTCTCTTTTTTTAAGAACAAATCATCCACTCACATTATCATATAAATGATAGCAACAATAATTCTTTCATGTATTTTAATTCTTAGAATAATCTTCAGAGGCTGGATTGTTAGCTTAAAATCAATAAGAAATTAAATAGGGGTTGGAGAAATGCATAATATTTATAATTAAATTTAAAAATTGAACCAAAATATAAGGATGCAGGGATAACACTTGACCAAAGAATATATAATGAAAGTATAGAGATTTTAACCACAAACTCAATCTTAATTAACAGTATGTATGTCTGCTGTAATGATAGACATTCATAGGCTGCATTTAAAAAATATATTTTAGTTATAATAATCCTTTTGTATTATAGCCTAGTCTCATTACTACATATTATATTGTGTTCTGTCTAACCACTATATTTGATGAGGAATACTAGAAATTATAGGATGGCATCGTGTCCAGAGGATGGCAGTTAAAATAGTGAATATGTGTGTCTTCCAGGAGTAAGAAGTCTTTTTTTGCCTTGTTTTTTGTTTTGGGCTGCTGTAGCGGAATACCATAGACCGGGTGTCTTAAACAATAGTGTTTTATTTCTCACAGTTCTGGATGCTGGGAAGTCCAAGGGTATCACCATGGTTGGGTTTGTAGATGGCCATTTCTTGTTGTGTCCTTCTATTGTAGGGAGAGAGAGAATCTCTCCCTGTTTCTACTTGTAAGGATACTAAACCCATTAATAAGGGCTCCCAAAGGCCCCATCTCCAAATATCATATTAGGGATTAGGGTGTCAACATTGAATTTTGGGGAGACATTCAGTCCATTGCATCTCCATTGTCGTCCCTCTCTTTGGCATAGGAGTTACAACTTTTTGTTTGCTTGTTAATTGGACTTTTTTTTTCAGAAATAAGTAATCTTTTACATTTGCTCTCTCTATATATGTATATGGTAATGAAGATTTTTAAGTTATAAGATTTAATTTTAAGTTATATTTTTAGGTGGATGATGAAGATTTACAAGATGAACCTTTACAAATCACAGTTCTTGACCATGATACTTACAGTGCAAATGATGCCATTGGTAAAGTGTACATTGATATTGATCCTTTACTCTACAGTGAAGCTGCAACAGTCATCTCAGGATGGTTTCCAATTTATGATACCATACATGGTAAGGAGTATATTTTAAGAAAATAAATAATGAACTTTTAAATTATCCTTAAAGATTTTTGTGCTCTTCTTGGTGGTTTTAAAATATATATCTTTAAAAGATGTTTTCTTTTTAGATGTAGTAGTAAAGTATTGTTGGTAGAATTGTCACTTTTCTGAACATGATTTGAAACATAATTTTCTGAGCTAAATTGGTGTAATATAGTAAGTGCGTTATTTAAAAATCATCTCATTCATACTCAGTACCTATAACATTTTCAAACTGTATTTCATTAAGCTAGACATTATAAAGATTTGCAAAAATGCAACACAGTGCCACTCATTAACATTTTTGTTTTCAAAATATAGTTATTTTCATTAAAATATTGTTTACATTAACATATTTATTACTTTAAATGCAGTAATAAGTAAATTTTTTTAATTCTCAATTTTAATTTATAATATGGTAAATATTGATAGATATGAGCCACATAAACAAAAACTCTTTGAGGTCTTCACTAACTTTTGAGATTTAAAGGGGTCCTGCAATCAAAAAGTTTGAGAACTCCTGGCCTAGAAATATGCTGTCTCTTTAGAATGGTAAATGAACCCATAAGGAACTGGCAGATGCTTCTATCTGCAATATTGCATCTTTCTGCTTATTTTACATTTTCGACCTGGCCATTCCATTGGTGGTCATTTTTTGTAAAAAATATGTTTGCTTAGATTTATTCATGTTTATTACATAGGTATGTATATGTTATTTGTTATTGTAATGTATGTTATTTGTATTTTATTATTATTTACTAATGTTTAAGTGGTAAAATAAATTGGAAAACAGCATTTGCTTAAATAATTTAGAGCATATATAGACCATAGTTGCACAGCCAGAATAGAAAGCATGTTTTCAGAATACAGTGACATAAGAAGATATGCATGATGTATTATGAATTGCAAAACATTATTATAGGATGATCCCAAAATTATTTAGAAATAAAAGAATTGCATATATGTATTATCATTGGATAAATTGGCAGAATACATGATAAAATGTTTATCATTAGATAGTTTTATTTCTGGACTATAATTCTGCTTTTCCTCTTTGTGCTCTTTTGCTTATTCCATAGTTTCTAGAATGCTTATCTTTGTAATCAGGAAATAAGATTCAGTCAAGTGTTTTATTACCAGTAAAAAAAGTCACTGGAGAATCTGAGCTTGGATTAAAGGCAGTAGCTATATGAGTGAACAAATTTTTCAAACATTATATTAAATATTATTTGTAATTCATTTAATATGTTATGTAGGCCCCTTGTTAGGAACATAATCTCTTATTATTTCACTTGGTAAATGAGCAAGTCTTCTTAGAAGTTATTCCACCATAAGTATGAATTTGACAGGAAGATAGGATAGTCAAATAAAAAGACCTACCTTAATAAATATTTAGAGATAGAGGCTGGGTCATTTTTTTTCTCAGAGCATTTTCTGAAAAACCCTTTTTTTTTGGAATTTCTTAACTTATTACTGTATATTCATTGAAAAGAATAAAATTTATTTGTGTTAACTCAGATTCTTGCATTACTTGTTAAGAGCATTTACTCTGGGGTAATAAAGATCTGACTTTTAATCTTGGCTTCACCACTTACTGGCTATTGACGCTATGCAAATTATTTAACTTTTATTAAACTATAGCTTCTTTATAAAATGAGGATAATAATACTACGGAAATTACCTCACTGGGTTGTTGTAAGCACTGTAAGGTACTACTTGTAAAACATTTTAGAACATTATCAATATTCGGCAAATATTATCATCATCAATTTAAATAGGATTTCTTTCCAGTTAGATTGGTTCAAATAGAGACTTGTGGTAAAAATGAAAATTATCCATTCTTTAATACATACATGTTCTTCAGAAAATTTAATAAAGAAATTACATAGAATGAAAATAAGAAACAAAGTTAGCATTGCTATTATGATCAATATATTATTTTAAAATCATTAATTGGCATTTATTTGCTTACTTAATTATACTTTATTTTCTTAAGGTAGAAATTTGATTTTCCTTTTGAAATTATAGGTATCCGTGGAGAAATCAATGTAGTTGTCAAAGTAGACCTCTTCAATGATTTAAATCGATTTAGGCAGTCATCATGTGGAGTCAAATTCTTTTGCAGTAAGTAAATACATTTTATTACTCATTTAACAGGAAATTTAATAATTAATAAATTTGGGAAATCAAATTAATGTTTTAGAAGGCTAGTGGAAAACCTATTATACTTTGGTTTTAATGCCAAAGAGAAAATTGTTAATTTTTCAGAAACAATTGCTGTAGCTCAGAGGACTATTTATCTCATTCTGAAATAAATGATATCTAATTTTTTCCAAGTTCATAGAAATTTTTGTTAGGAAAATTTATCGGAGAACACGTGCTCATGATTTTCATGACAATGCCACTGTGGCCTTTTCCTACTCCTGCCCTTTCACCAGCTGCTACTCCAGCCTCCACTCTGGCCTACTTACCAGCATGATTAGAAGGAGTAACATTAAACATCGCCAGTAACAGTTACTAGAAAGAGTAACAGGTGAAGATTTTTGGATTCTTTTCAGAATCTTAAAGGAGAATCCATATATTAATGAAACAACTTAATCTCATATACTTAAACCTTATGTTTTATAATATTGGGCCTAAAGGTAGAGAATTGATTGTTAGAGCTCTCTACCTGAGAAGATAATTCAGATACTTTAGAATGGCTGGAAACAAAATTGAAAATAAAGGTGGAATGTTTTTGCTGCAGTGCTACACATTAATTCATCTTAGAGAAGTTTTCTAGATCTGGATGACTTTTATCTGGGAAGGCAAAATGTGATAGCATTTACTATGTGGTCTTAACTGAAAACCAAACAATTAAGGGAATAAACCTGAACTGGGCTATCCTTTTTGGCGAACAGGAAGAGTCCACAGTTCACCTAGGCCACATGTGGAAAGAAAATCACTCTTTATTGAATTATATATGCATAAGTATATTATAAAAAATTGTGGTATAGAACAGGTGTTGCACTGTATCTGAAACATAGCCTATGCTGCCTTTATGTCAGCTGGTCGTTAATAGTCAGCAACAACATAAAGGGAGAAGGACTTGTACTTTCTCAGTCAATGAAATCAAGTTTCATACTCTCAGAATTCATTCACACAGGCTGTCTAAAACTAGACAACTCAGATGTGGAGCCGTTTGTGGTAAATGGATGCATGTGTGTCTTGCAGAAGTCTCCTGTGGCTTTAAAAAGCATAATTGTTGGACATGAACTTATCGGAGAGCTTGCAGCCACTCATCTAATGCAGATTTTACCCTTGTACCAATAGGTCAATCTATGAAAAACAAGCTCAGAAATAATTTTCACATATTTGTTTTACTACTTTCACAGAAATTAATAATTTATTGCCGATTAAATTTCATAAGTTAAAACAAGTTACTTTTGTCAAGCATGTAAAAGATATGACTATATTAAACTTTGTATAATTGTAAAATGGAAAAAAGAAAAATCCAGTAGTGTTTTACTCTAATACAAGACACTGAAAGATAGGAGCAGAGCATTATAGCCAGGCACTGGTGTTATCCAGAATTACATAGGCTTCTACAGGAATGGAGACCCGTGAAAACCATGCAATATGGATTGAAATCGGGCACATCTAGGCAATTCATAGCCAGTCTGGATTAATAGAGTTAAAAGCTCCTAAGTGGTTGAATTAGCTTCAAGGTGCATGGAGACTAGTTTGATGTAGATGTTCTCAGGTTCTCCCCTTTTTGAATCTGACAAGATCTTACTTAAATTCCAATGACATTTGTTGTCCTACTTATTAAATGGATGTGTTAAGTTGTACAGTGAGTGCTGAACCAGTTAACCACATGACCATGGATTATTAGAAACTTCAGGGCTCTGTGATTCCTCAGATTATGTCAGAAAGGTAATGGTTTGATTTTTGAGGCTGCAGTATGTAGTATACAGAACTTTTTCAAAGAGCTTTGAATAAGTTTTTTGTATTCATACCTACTTTCTACCTATTTGTAACAATCAGCTAGCTGACTTTGTTTTTTGAACTTTGTATTCAATGCTGTTTAAGAAGTCCATCGATGGTTTCTAAATTATACAAATACAGTTTATATCGACTATGCTTACATGAGAGAGGTGAGAGGTCTCGTGAAAGAAAATGATTATTTCTAAGAATAAAATGAAACTTAGAAGAAGACTATTTGATTGGAAGTATTATTATAATTACATTGAGATTATTATAGTAAAAAGATGTTCTTGTACTATATATACAAAAGGTAAGAACTTAGTTGTACATTTTTAAGAAATTGAATTTAACTTTTTGATAAATAGAAGCATAATAGACAATTTCTTTTAACAGCAACATCTATTCCAAAGTGCTATAGAGCAGTAATAATTCATGGCTTTGTAGAAGAACTTGTGGTCAATGAAGATCCAGAATATCAATGGATTGATCGAATTCGCACACCAAGGGCATCAAATGAGGCCAGACAGAGACTCATTTCTTTAATGTCAGGTATTTAAAAAAAAAAAAAAACTTCATTACTGATTGACTTCATACTTCAAATATTTTCACTTCCTTTTGACATGCTACGAAATTTTACAGTGAAGATTGTAAATTGTAAGTGACTGATTCTCTACCCCTGGCCCCATCCTCCTGAACACACATTACGTTGCCATCCTGTAACAAGAATAAATCTGAATCAGAAGCTTATAGTTCCTTCTTCACTAGGTAGTAAAAGGATATTGTGCTCATGAAGTGGCATAGTGGAAAGTGCCCTGAGCAAGGAAGTAGGAAACTGGGTTCTAGTTTTTCTCTCTCTAGCATTTATTTATAATCATAGTTTAGGTAATTGCTCTAATGCTTTTTGTTCAAATGTTACTTTTTCATAGTCCTTCTCTATTTGTGGCTCCTTCTACGCCTCCCTGCCACTCTTAATCACTTTTCTTTATTTTTCTTTGAAGAATGTATTTATCATCTAAAATTCATATTTTTGTGTACACACATATAT